TTTTTCCTGTCTCTCCTCCTCTCTATAAATCTGACTTTCTAATAAAAACAAATAAACCTTAAAAAAAGATTAAGTCCAGGTTTTCACATGATTCATTAGTGTGGGGCTATTTTGGAAAAGTTGTTATGAACATTATTAGCAGGTTCTTGTATGGAAACATGTTTTATCTCCATTAGGTATATAGTTAAGAGAATTTCAAGATCAAATCATGGCCTTTGTGGGAAAGTTCCAAACTGCTTTCCAGAGTGGTTGTACCTCTGTGAGAATTGAAAAAAATGTATGAATCATTGTTAATTTAAAGCATCTCCATCCGTTTGCACAATCTTTGCATTCATTAAAAATTGTAGGCCGGCGGTTGACTACCTGGATTAGTTATTATTGTCGTATTACGCTGACATAGGAAGATAAAGAGCTCACATTTGCCTGTTACTTTGTCACCACATCTAGTCTTACAGGAACAAATGAAGTAGAAGCCTTTTATGCTTCTAGTTTACAACTGATGGCTGAATTTCACTTTAGGGAGCAATTTTGCTAAAGAAGAGGATGGTTTAAGACATGATAATGTGACAGAAAATTAAGAAGATAAAATTGGTACTCAGGTTGGGCTGGGTCCTAGTTCTCTCCATCAGAAAAGTGTACATAATAATACTAGCCACTTCTTGTCATGTCATGTGAATTAAGACTTAGAAATTCCTCAGTGGAAAACATTTTATAAATTGTGAAATCTTGCAGTGGGTTCATTGAAATGCCGGCTTCTAAGAAATCCATTTTGAAAAGAATTGTACAGAGTGAAAATTACTAGGTAAATTGAAAAGAAATGTTTCTTCAAGTCAAAAATTTTACTTGTGGTTTAGCTTATCAAGAAATTCTCACCGTTCTCATTCTGTAGTGCTTGTTCCTTTCCAGAGAGGGCATAAAGCACATGGCATTTGATGCCCTTAGTAATTGGTGGAAATGCTTGCTATGTTGGAGGGATTGTGTTACAGGCCTCAAAAGCAGTAAGGTGGGCAATTTGTGAAGCATAATTATTAATAAGTTACTAGAAATGTGTTTCCAGAATGAACCATTATCTTATGATTCAGATTTTAAAATAGACTTAACAACAGCCAGTTTTGCAAGCTGGTAACTACGAAGCAAGTAATTTACTCATCATTCTAATTTTGATGTTGCCGTTGTTGTTTGGTCTTCATGGGAATCGCTAGCACATACTAATTGCCGATAGGGGTTTTAAAAGGTTGCTCCTCACTGAACATTTCCAATGGACCAAATATGCCTGTAGGTTACTTTTATTCTCTCCCCAACAGTGGTGAGGTGTGTTTCAGTACTTTCATCTCGGACAGTACCATGGGCCACTTTTCTTCCGCAGGTTTATTATTCATTCACTTAAGGGTTCCAGGCCACACGCTTCCATCACTTGTATTGCCAGTGAGCTTAACGTGGTGTTTGCATGGATAGTGGGAGGGTCAACAGTGTCTGAACTTTGTGCCTGTGTACATGAGCATGTGTGTGCACTCATGCCAAGGATCTGCTATCATGAAGAGATTGCAATTTATGGTCAGAATCAAGTCCCCGATTCCGATGCAAACAGTAAGTTTCTTCTGCTCTAGGCAATTTCTGCTCTAGGCTATTAATCTATTATGTCTCAGATGTTCACGATTTTCTTCAGAAATATCCCAAACTTGTAATCTTAGATTTCTTGCTTTCAGACATTGATCATAATATGTTTTTTCATAAATCTAGATATATTATTCTGATAGCTACACAAGAAGCAAATTGAAAATCGTTGCATTTTATTTATTCCTTTAAAGAATAGAATGATTTTATTTGCTTTTTGTTAGTATTGGTGATAATACAGTCTGCATTTGTCTAAGAGGAAATCGTAACAATATATTTCCTATCCTGAAGATTTAGGAAATTAAAATTGTCAAAAATTGATCAATTTCAGTAAGATTCTACATCCTGACTTCTTAAGAAAAGCCAAATTATCTTATACTTTCACTAGCAAATGAAGAAACTATATTAATTTCTTTTAGATCTTGAACATTCATATCAAAAAAGGGCCAGAATGGTGGCTCAACAGGCTGATGCTCGTCCTGCAGTGCAGGCATCCTGTTCATATCGTGGTTGCTGCAATTCCCATCCAACTCCCTGCCTGCCTATGGCCTGGGAAAGCAGTTGGATGACTCAGTTCACTCAGACCCTGTACCCATGTGGGAGACCTGAGAAGGATTACTGGCTCCTGGATTCTGATTGGATGAGCTCCAGCCATTGTGATCCTTTGGGGTGTAAGCCAGCAGATTGAAGATCTCTCTCTCTATCCCTCTCTCTCCTCTATAAATCTGCCTTTAAATAAAAATATATGTCTTTTCTTAAAGAAATAAGTCTGAAAAAAACAGGAAATTATGAATAGTTGTGAACCATCTTAATTCTCCAAAATATACAGTTACAAATGAAACTAGCAATTCCATAAATGTAATTGCATGAGAACACACTTTATTACACCTGTTCAAATATTTTCTATTTGCAGAATAGTTATTTATATTCAGAACAGTTGATGAGCAGTTTTTCTTAAAATGTCCAAGTAATGTGGGCTGCGTGGTTGCCCTTGGCAGGGTCAGTTACATTTGAGATATCTGTGTGCCATATCAGAGGGTATAAATTTCAGTCCTGGCACTCTCCTGATTTAAGTTTCATATGAACATGCTCGGGGTGAGGATTTGGGTGAATGGATCTCTGCCCCCACAGAGGAAGCCCTCATTAAATATTGGTTGCCAACACTGGTGCATTGGTGTAGCTCAGCTCCATAGACGTTGTGGGCATTTAGGAATTATACAGCAGATGCAAACTCTCTATATATGCCTGTATATTTGTTCTGATAAACTAAACAACATTTACCATTTAATCAGTTAATCAGAATAATGATTGATCAGTGATTGATTTAACTAACACTGAAGATGAGGAAAACACATCTGAACGCTGTCAATTTTATACATAGACCCAAAGAATAAAATTATGACATCCAAAAAATAGAGGGATGATTTAAGTAAATAGAAGTAAACAAGGAGCTGTAATTTTTTTAAGGAACTAAATAACTTTGAACAAGTTCCAAGTCACTAAAGCAAAGGGTAACAGATACTTTTCAACCATAATGTAAATTGATAGGAAAAGTCTAACCTATATTCAGATAAAGACATGATGGTCACTAGCATTGAAATCCATTTAAGGGACTTTTATCAGATTATTAGTGTTTATTCTCTTGGAACCAAGTAATATTTTAAATTTGTTTCAGTAATTCTTATCAGACTACCTTTAACGCATTATGCAATTCAAGTGATCTTTGAATTATTGTCAAATTCTACCACAAAGAGCACTTTCACAAAGGACATGCAATTCATATCATCTGGTGTTACTGTCATTTCTAGGCTAAGTCCCATGGAAATTCATAACTTAGAAATGAAAGTCACAAAGATGCAACTGCCTACATAATGCCAATGCAGTGATCATAAATATTTCATGAACGTTGCATGGGCAGATCTCCATTTTCATGAGTTAGAATTTGTACAGCGACGTCTCCAGATTTTACTATTCATAATGCACAGTGTGCCCGTAGAGCCCTTCATATAGTGCTTTTTACTATTTAGTTTTAAATAAGAAATTACTACATTGAGAGAGGAACAAGCAAAACTAGTACTTCTTTGTTAAAACTATTAACTTTACTGAATATAGATGATAACCATCAGGGGCAATTACCTCATTGCAGTGTCTTAGCACATAAACACATAACTTTTAAAGTAATGCAGGATGGATCAAGATAAATTAAACCAAAGTGAAAAGGTTGTTCCTAAAGGCTAACATGAGAAATCTTCTCTGGAAAGAATTTGAAAGGTTAAGAAGCAAAGAGCAACTTTGTTACATATAAAAATATTAATTACAAATGATGCACTTGCCTGCAGTTTCAGAGTTGAAATATCTGCCTATAATTCTGGATTTTTCTTTTTATTGAAAAAACATTTTCCCTGGCTAAGATAATATTACCAAGTTCAATAATGAATTTGTGGTGCGTATTTTAATGTAATTTATCAAAGCACAATATCAGTACCTGTCAGAATAAATTTTGCACTCAAAGTAATGGGGAAAAAAGGACTATTGTATGCATCGAAATCAAAGGACATCACTACGCTGTTATTTCAATGGAAAGGATGGGTGTTTGCCCTCTAAATGATACTTATCCCATGAGAAAGTCAAACCCTGAAAATCACAGGAAATAGGCTCAGGAAAATGTCTATTTCTTGCTTTAAAGAATAAGTATTTGATATTTTATTTCACTTTTGTCATTTTGATCAATTCTTTCAAGTAGACGAGTGTTGAAAAACCCTGCACAGATCCTGGTAACATTTACAAAAGTAAGTTAAAGTTACTGAACAGCTGCTATCTAATCCAAGGCTAAATTATTCCATATTAGCATGCATGTGCCCAGATTTAGACTGATGATTAAGTTGCAGATAGATTTTTTTTTTCTTTTTGATTGCTTGAGATATGTCTGCAAATAATGAAAACAGTGGTTTCAGATTTATTATCAGTCACCCAGGAGTCAGAGTTCAAATATGTCTGATGAGGCTTAAACCAGTGAGGTCACTAGAAATCCTGTCATGCTTTTTGAGGTTACCACCAGGAGTCTGTTGTTTTCCTAATATTTAACTGAAAGTGAAAAAATGCTACCTTTCTTTTTTTTATCTTTGTAGTTTTATTTTTCTATAAGGCTCTCCTGAGGAATTTAACCTTTGTGTGATGAATTTTCAATTCACCTGAAATTTGTTAGCCTTAGTTCCCTAATGAATTGAAGTGTGATACTGAGGGAAAAATTGAGAAATGTATCATGTAGATAATTGTCAGGTTGAATTTGTCTTGCACATCTCCAGTTCTGCCGTGGTTCCAGTACATGTTTTAATCAAAATTCTTTAATTATTTATTTTCTATATTTATCTGGCCCATTTGAACAGGATCCAGAGCTGGTGCGGAACATCTGTCGCTGGGTGAGGCAAGCTGTTCAGATTCCTTTTTTTGCCAAGTTGACCCCAAATGTCACTGATATTGTAAGCATCGCAAGAGCTGCAAAGGAAGGTAAGGACTAGACTTTTAAGAATAATGATTAATTTGAGTGCTGGGGCAGGCACTGTAGCATAGAGGATTGAGCCTCCACAGGCAGTGCCAGCATCCCCTGTGAGCACGGGTTCATGTCTACCCATTCCACTCCAGTTCAGCTCCCTGGTAAAAGCTTGGGAAAGCAGAGAATGATGGTGCAAGTTCTTGGATCCCTACCCATGTGGGAGACCAGGTAGAAGCTCCTGGCTTTGGACTAGCCCACCCCCAGTTATTACAACCTTTTGGGTGGAGAACCATTGGGGAAGGGTTAGCTTTTTTTTTTTTTCTCTGTGTCTCTCCTTCTGTCTGTAGCTATGCGTTTTAAATATAATTAAATAAACCTTTAAAATAAATGTATTGAGTACTTTATATCACATGTGATATTTTCATTTCTGGGCTCAAGTTACTCAAGGGGCATCAAGATTTGACCAAGAAATATAAGAGCAGAACTTTTCCTAATAAATACTTGTTTCATACACAAAGAGTTGTGCAGCAAAACTTTAGTCACTGCAAATTACTCCACATTTAATAACCTTGTAATACAACAATTCAGCCATAGCATGTGAATCATTAATGGAACAAGAGAGAAAGACCAGTTTCAAGTGGTATGCTTTTCTCTGAGAGTTTCTTTTAATTGTTTAATAGAGTTTAGTATACTTCCTTATACACGTGCCAGTAAATAGCTGTGGAGTACCTAAATCATACAGTCAGTACATGTCTCTAAAATCATATATGCTTGTGTTTCATCCCATGGAAATTGAATTCTGATTTACAAAAACATCATAAATTACTTGGAAAATAACACCAAATACAAACATTTGGCATGAAAAAAATCTATACAATAGTTGGAAAAATGATGTATTCTTAATTAAAGCCATTTTTGAAACTTCTACCTGAGGCCAGTATGATAAAGCAGCTGATAAAGCTACTAGAGCCTGTGGCACCAGCATCCCATATGGGTGCCTGTTCATGTCCCAGTTGCTGCACTGCTGATCCAGCTCCATGTAGATGGTCTGGGAAAAACAGAGAAATATGACCCAAGTAATTGGGTCCCTGCCACACAAAGCAGAGACCCAGATGAGGCTCTGGTTCCTGGCTCCAGCCTGGCCTATCCCAAACAATAACAGTCATCTGAGCAGGGAACTATCAGATGAGAGCTCTCTCTCTCTCCTTCTCTCTCTCTCTCTCTCTCTCTCTCTCTCTCTCTCTCTTTCTCTCTCTTTCTCTCTCTCTGTTTCAGTTTCCCCCATCCCTGTCACTTTGACTTTCAAAGCAATGTGTAAACCTCAAAAACAAAAACAAGTAAACACACAAAACCTTACCAGTTTAAATATAATTGTGAGACTTAAGGTACTGAAAACAATTGAAGGGAGGATAGTCTCAATAGAAAATGGAGTATGCTGGCTGCATTTTCCTGGATCCTGTCGTTGTGAATGCTTTTGGTTTCAAAAAGAGTGCATTTAATTGAATGAACTTGAACCGTTGTTTCTGTAAGCACTGCAGGTAAATGATGCTGTGGTTCTCACAGGTGGTGCAGATGGTGTCACAGCCACCAACACAGTCTCGGGCCTGATGGGACTAAAAGCTGATGGCACACCCTGGCCAGCGGTGGGTACTGGAAAACGGACCACGTATGGAGGAGTGTCAGGTACGGGTTGCCCTCTCTTTTCATTATACTTCCTTGAAGAGTGTTGAAAACTCCAGAGGTCATGTTGCAGGCAGAGTGTTGTGTCATTTTGAGCTTAACTTCTTATAACTCATTATTGGTCAATATTCCTAGTAGTCCTGACAGGTGGAACAGGTTGGATATGAAGGTGCAAATGATTGCAAGAGAATACCAAAACAGGGTCTTTTACAAATCCTATTCTTTCATGATCTCTGCTTTTTCTGAGTTTCTTATTAGCAGGATATCCTTGCCATGAATTAGCACAGGCTAATTGTAAGTATCTTGAATATTTTTTTTCATAGTCTGAATTAGTTTCTACCCTTCCTAGAATTTCAATGTCTACCTCCTTCAGAAACCTTCCTTTCGTAGATATCACAAACAACTCATTAAAACAACATTTAAGCTTCAGCTGACCAGATATATGTCAGCCTCCTACTTTTGAACACCCCTTTCCATTGGGAAACACATTCTAATCCCAAGGTCCTCTTTGTCACTCTGTTGCTGTGACAACATGAACTTGGTCTTGAACAGACAATGCTGTGAGGTTCTTGACTATACTGGTATGGGGATTAGTCTCCTTGGAGATAGAAAAAAGTGGTAAATACACATAACATAGCAGCATCCCACTGTTCAGGAAATTCATGTTGAGTAAGACGAAAATGCGCATTTCGAAGAGGCTGGTATGACACAAATAAAACTGTATCCGTCCTGAGGTTTTTGTTTTCTTTTGTTTTGCTTCATTTGAGAGTCTGATTTCTGTCGATGAGCTGTGATAAAGCAACAACCATCACAAAGCTGTATTCTGCTTCTAGTGGAACGACAATCGCACAGTGACAGAAATAAGAATGCTGACCCAGAGCTCCTGCTTAGCACCCAAACATAGCTATCAGGAGCTATCAAGCAAGGCCTTAAATATTTTCATAATGTAGAATAGCATGGACCATATCGGTATGACCCACAGAAAGAGTCAAGAGACTCCAGAATTGGGCTGTAACATGCACTATGTTTTCTGTCAGCCCATTTCAATTTTTCCAACGTGCCATGTTGACAGCAAGAGAATAAAGGAGGTCACAGAAGGTACTGAACATTAAAAATTAATAAAAGAACTATTGCAGTAGTATTTTATATGAGTAACACCATTCACATTTTCTCATTTGAGCTGCAATTTGTGAATATTCTCCCATACTATAACTCAGTATAATAAAACTACAAAATTATAGCATTAGAAAAAAAATCTTTTGTTTGCAGTCTTTAAGCATATACACATTGGAAATTATAGCCATACCTAAACACAAGTTCAGCTATACCTCAGAGCCTGTTAGCATTTTCATAAAACTCTATTTCTAAGATTTATAAATTCACCTATAAATATTCACTTGGGCTATAAGCTTAGCTAGGCCTAGGTGCAACTTTATTTTAAACAACAGACCTCTCTAACATTTTAAGGAGTTGTGCCTCATTTCTAATAGGTTCTATTTTATGTTCTTTCACATTAAACATCTGTTTTGAAAATAACTCCCCTCTCCATTGATATCAATAATGTTTTCCTCTTTTTAAGAGGTGCTTACTAGGGTTTAAAGGCATTAGTATCTGCAAAAGAGTTTAAATAGGCAATGGTAACATACTGGGGGGCAAAAGTAAGTTCTAAACTTTCAAAATGATTTAGTTAAACCTATCTAGTTAAACCTTCTAGTTAAATCTAGCCTTGCAAAACAACAGTCTCAAGTTTCTAGAGTGGGGAAAGTATAAAAATGGCTAAATACTATTGCCAGTTTTATTAAATATATCTGTCAGGACATCAGATACTGCTTAAACATGGTAAATGATTAAAAATAAATAAATAGCAACAATAAAAACACCATGTTTTCTTAAGACTTTTTTTTTTTTTGTAAAGACAGATATACAAGGAGGAGAGACAGAGAGACAGAGAGAAAGATCTTCCACGTGCTGGTTCACTCCCCAAATGGCTGCAATGGCCGATTTGATCTGAAGTCAGAACCCAGGATCTTCTTCCTGGTCTCTCATGTGGGTGCAGGGTCCCAAGATCAGAGGCCTTGTACCATCCTCTGCTTCTTTCCCAGGCCACAAGAAGGGAGCTGGAAGGAAAGCAGAGCATCCATGGTACACACCTGCATCCATTTTGGATCCTGGTGGCTACAAGGCAAGGCTTTAGCCATTAGGCTATCCCACTGGACCTGCTAGGTTTTTTTTTTTTTTTTTTACAACAAATTTTTAAAAAACTGTACCACAGCATCACGTTCATGTATTCCCAAGAGTTTACTAAGAATATTAGAATGTTTATATTCCAAAGAGAGACTCAATTCATGGAATTTATTTTAAGTGAAATCTAAATAGTTCTCAGTTTTGGATAGCCTTCTGAATTACAACACATACATTCCATTGCCAGAGAAGGATATTGTCCCCAATCATTACATCCTGTCACTACTCAATCTTTGTTATTGTTTCTTCCAAGAGAGCTATAGCAATTTGAAATATAAAGGTTTTATTTACTTAGAGAGGAACAGTGGAGGTACCTTGGGCAGTGTACCTGCTTTAGGAAAATGATCATCTATCAGATTAGTTTTTCTCTCAACATGAGCTAGGCTGAAAAAGGCAATGGATTGCACTGGAAGATAGAATCTCAGTTTCACCTGAACTCAGTGTTAGTTGAATGTTTCCAGATATCATTAGTCTGGATTCAAAAGCAATGTTTTTCAAGGTTTGATTACAACAAATGAATACATAAAGGAAGCAAGTTTGAAGAACTATAATCAGCCTTTAAAAAATTAAATAGAAGGAGAAAATGTCAGATTGCTTTGCCCAAAATTGAGATGAGCATTGTTTTGTCGATCTTTTTTACTTACACACAGGATATGCACATTTCTTTGCCATGTGTAAAATGACTTGTTTTAAACTTTGGATGACTTCAAAAAAGTCTAAAAGCTACTGTTTTAAAAAGACAGATGACAGAAGTGAAATGACAGAAGTCAAAAAGCTTAAATAAAGATAACTTCCACTTGTTACAGTCTAAAAGCCGGTTACTAGAGGGATCATATCCCAAGTTCGTATACTCAACTTTATTATTTCAAACACTGGACTTTTCTGAATCACCTGGAGGTGGTTAGAATCTGTCCTAGCTGAAACATATGACCCAAGCTCATAAGAAAATGGTTTATTAATTTGAGTTTCAGTAAAAATACCTGGCAATATTATGTTCATACATGAATCTGTTAAAGATTGTGATCTAGTGTTGCATGGTGAGGTCATTAACCCAAGGAAATGTTGTCTGGTAGTCATCAGTGATACTTTCATGAAACCTGCAAGGGCTGATTAAGCTTTCTGGCATATAGAAGTGGGCAGTGTGGGGCCTATGGGCCATTTTAGTCTTAACTTATTTTTCTGACTGTCCGAGGTAACCACAAGCAGCAGATGAAATTCAGTAAGTCTATAGCAGGCTAATTTTTAAGTTAATAATTTTGCATGACTAACAAATGATGCTATAAATATCCAAATGCCCCTTGGGAGAAAACAGTCATTCTCTATCTTTCTTTTAAAAGTATCGAATTAGCACCGATCAGTTGTTTTTGGCTAACTTTCTATTCCCTAGAATCCACACAAACAAGTTCTGTTATATCAAACAGCAATTAATCCATGAATCTCATGCAGTTGAATAGATTATCACATTTTGATGATGTAAGAAGAGAAAAATTTATTGATCTTATTTATTGATTGGATGAAACCCTAGTCTTACAAGTAACAACTATACACTCCATCCTTGAGTCAATTATTCATTGTTTTTCCTGCTTTTTGCTTAGTTTCTTTTTCTTATTTTAGTTTCATATTTTGACCTTTTATCTGAGCATGTTCCCAAATAATCAGGACATCTCAATAACCACCCCCCAACTTCGTGATTATTTTCACCCACCTGTATAAATGGTGTTATCCAGCTGCGGTGTGACATTTCCACATGAACTCCTCCCTGTGGTTTAGATCTCGTCAAAGGAGGTTAAGAATTAGTGCTGCAAGACAGAAACTAAGGACATATTTCCCTTGCACAAAGATAATCTTTACTTATTGATAACTGCATTAAGAGACAGTCATAAAACATCTTTCAGTGGGGCATATTCATTGAAAGGAATTTCTGTTGTTCTTTGTGGTTATTGTGCTTTTATTAATGGAAACTCTCCTGTTTCCTAGGAGTGTTATGTCATTTCCTAGTCCTGGACATATTTTGTTTGTTGCACATGTAAACACACATCTACATGCACATACTTCAGGAAGAGGGTACTTTAAAAAAATTGGTTAGTTTGAAAAGCTGTGTAGCAGAGAGGGAAAGACAGACATGGAAAGAGAGGAACACACACAAATCAGCGGTGGCAAGGATGGGAGATATCTTTGATTTACTCTCCCAACAACCAGGTTGAATGAGATTGAAGTCAAGAACTAGAAACTTAATCTGAACTTCCTTGTCAGTGACAGGAATGCAAGTACTTGGACCATTATCTGCTGCTTTCCAGGTTCACTGGCAGAAATCTGGATCAGAAGCAGAGGCAAAACTCAGTGCTATGGATATCCAAGCCATGCCTTAATCGCCTGCTGACAGTGCCTAGCTCAGAAAGCACGTTACGTTGCAATAGATATCTTAGCTTCAATATAATTTACTTTCTATAAGCTGGAAAAACTAGCACGTGATTTTAAATTATCCTAGATTCTTATTTTAAAATGATTGTTTATGTATAAACTTAGCTAAAACAATAGTATTTCACTTAATATTAAGACATTGTTTTATTATTAACTTCTAAATAAGTTATCAAGGGTGATTTTCAGCATTCAACCTCTTTTTTCAGTCCCAAATTCCTAATAATTGCACAACATATTGTGGAAGATCTAAGATTGCAAAAAGAGTGCCCTTAAAACATTCACGGAAAGTGTGGATTTTTCTCAAAAAGTATGTGCAGAATTCCTATTTTTTTCATCAATAT